TCCAGTACACCTAGATGGTACCTGGCTACCACCACTGACCGCTCTGACAGGGATCACAATAGAGGGTCCCAGACAGAGCTGGAGAAAAATGCAGAACAAAATTCTAATTCAAAAAAAGAGCAGACTTACTTCCCTCACAGAGACTGGAGAAACCCCCTAGAGTATGGCCCTCAGACACCCTTTTAGCTCAGTAATGAAGTCACTCTGGAGGTTCACCTTTCAGTCAAAGATTAGACAGGCCCATAGGACAAAATGAGACTAAAGAAACACACTGGCCCAGGGGCAAGGACTAGAAAGCAGGAGGGGACAGGGAACTGGTAATAGGGAACCCAAGGTCGAGAAGAAAGAGTACTGACATGTCATGGGGTTGTTAACCAATGTCATAAAACAATGTATGTGCTAACTGTTTAATGAGAAGCTAGTTTGTTTTGTAAACCTTCATCTAAAGTACAATAAAAAAAAAAATCTTAGTCAAAACTTACTACCCTCAGAAGTCATCCATAGTTACTTCTACTAATTTCCGGTAACTTTTCAGTATACAAGCAACTAAATATTATGTGAAAATGATGCACCCTATACGATCCAATTTTCAAGTCACTTAAATATTACAATTTTAATAAACTCTTAACGTATTCTAAACAGAAATCCAAAACACTATACAGATGCCTTCCTAAAACAGAACATACAGAACAACTTAACTTTCTGAATTTTTATGTTCACTTTAGTTTAGCTTTTCTGTCTGTCCTTCACTACAAAGCTGTTTATTCTCACTAGTCTTAACTGTATGTTCTAGCAGCAACTTCATTCTCTTTACTTTGCCAATCCTAAATGGACTGGGAAGCAGATAATCCAGTTTATTAAAATTGTACACAAAATCCATTTTAGCTTTAGAATAAAGACTTGAGGTGACCTTTCAGTGTAAAGAAACACCTTTTAGCACGAGTGTGATAATACCTATTTCTGTTTAGTCTTTTCTGCTTACTTTTGCCTCTCAGCTGACTTTCAAAATCAAAGGAGACCAAATAAGCAATATTAACACATACTTTTCTTTTAACGTCTTATGGATTTATTGGAAAGGGTTGGGCAGAGGTGTTGCAAAATTAATTTAAACACTTAAAAAATGCTATTAAAATCTAGAAACTGTAATAGGGATTTTATATACATTATCTCACTAATCCTTATATTTATTCCAGAAAGATTCTATAATTACACAGTATTAAATATTAACTACTTGGTCAGTACAGGTGCCTATTAAAGAATGCAATTTAGGTCTCTTCTATTAAAACACAATAAATAATATCTTTCTAGTATCTTTTAGTAAGTTTCTAGCAAACTGGCAAGATATACTCATTTGACACACATTTTACCAAAGAATAAACACAAATGACCAATAAGCACATGAAAAGATACTCAACATCATTAGTCATTAGATGTAAATCAAAACCACAATATCACTTCACAATCACCAAAATGGCTGTGATTAAAAGGACAGAAAACAAGTGCTGGTGAGGTTGGGGAGAAACTGGAACACTTATCCATTCATGACAGGACTGTAAAATGGTACAACTACCGTGGAAAAACAGTTTGACGGTTCCTCAAAAAGTTAAACATAGAATTACTACATGATTCAACAATTCCAGTCCTAGGTATATACCCAAAAGAACTGAAAGCAGGAACACAAACAGATACTTGTATACCAATGTTCACTGCAGCACTAGTCACAATAGCCAAAAGGTAAAAACAGCCTAAGTGTCCATCAACCAATGAACAGCTAAATAAAACATGGCACATATATACCTAAAAAGAAGTCCCGATACATGCTACAACACAGATGAATCCTGAAAACAAGCTGCATGAAATAAGTCAGTCACAAAGGGACAAATAATGTATGATTCCACTTATATGAAATAGCTAAGAGAGGCAGGTATACAAAGACCAAAGTTTATCAGTGGTTATCAAGGGCAAGAGGGAAGGAAGGGAAAAGGGAGACACGCTGTTTAGGGGACACTGAGCTTCCATGAAGGGTGATGGGAAAATCTGGAGACAGATAATGGTTAATGGCTGAACAATATGATATACGTAACAACTAATGTCACTAATCTGTACATGTGAAGAACCCTGACAAGGCAAATGTTTGTTACATATATATTTACAATAACATGTAAAAAATGTATACACACTCATAATCCAATAGAAAAATGGGAAGCAATGTAGACAACTCACTTAATAATAGAAATGACTAATAACTATAGAAAAAGTTGCTGGAGTTCACCAATATTCAAGATAAGCAAAAGGCATAAGAGGAAAACACCAAAAATTTGAGTTCGCTGGAAATTAAAAACTTCCAACATATATACATAAAGCAACGACTTACCAGTGGAAGTTGGAGTCACAGTTTCAATAGCTTTTGAAGCATCTGTATCTTTTCTATTTAAAAGAAAACAAAATTAGCAGACTTAGAAATTGTTTAAGTTCTATAAATTTCTAGAAATGTGATGTTCAAATCTAAAAAAGTTTAACACAATTCAATCTGAACAATGCCCATTTAAACTGCAGTGATAAAACTTATTAAAAATAGTTTTAAATATTAAAATTTCCTATTTCATATATACATATATTCATTTCCACATATGAAATCATGGAATCACTTACTTTAAAGTAGATGCAGATGTTTTCTTTGAATCTGAAGTCTTTTTTTTCACCTCTTTGTTCTATGAAGGAATAATATTTTGAACAAAAAAAATCAGTTTCTTCTCCCCAATTATAAAAAGCAATTTAGAAATATAGAAAAGCATAAAGAATCCAATTTAAATATCTAAAATCTCTAAAACCCTAACAGTATAAATGCTTACTACCTTTTTCTATATATACAGAAATAGAGTAAAATTATTTTCAATTTTAGCATAATTTTACATCTTGCCTTTTACCCCTCACCCATATTTTACCATTAACTATCTTTCAAGAATATTATTTCTAACATGTCTATGTTATTTCAGATGTATAACTGCCAACACCCTGGCCCATTACTACCATCTTTTGCTTTGATTACAATAGCCTCCTCTGTTGCTTCTGTCCTTGTCATTTAACCGACCCCGAATCTATTCTCAACAAAAGCCTGATTAATCTTGCCACTCCTAGACTGGAAACCTTCCAACACTCTCAGAGAAAAAGCCCATACTTAAAGTGGCCTATAAGAGTTTACACCAGGGAGCCCTGGTACCTCAGTGGTTAAGCGTTTGACTGCAAACCAAAAGGTCGGCAGTTCGAATCCACCAGCCGCTCCTTGGAAACCCTGCGGGGCAATTCTCCCCTGTCCTATAGGGTCATTATGAGTTGTAATCGACTCGATCGCAATGAGTTTGTTAAGAATGTAATTGATGGCACTGGAATTATACATGCAGAAATTTCTGAAATGGTGTAATTTTGGCTATGTATATTTTCACCAAAAAAAAAAAAAAAAAAAGGCCTCCAAAGTCGAGAAGGGAGAGTGTTGACATGTGGTGGGGTTATTACCACCAATGTCATAAAACAATATGTGTACTGACTATTTAATGAGAAACTATTTGTTCTGTAAACCTTCATCTAAAGTACAATAAAAAAAAAAGTTTACACCATATGCCCCACCCACCCTCCACCCCTCAACCACTACAACCCTCTTCCTGCAGTCAGAGTATCCTTTACATTTCAAAGTTTTTTGCAGTTGCTATTCTTTCTGTCTGGATAGCTCTTGACCCAAGGCATGGCTTGCTCTCTCACACCCTTCAGATTTTTGCTCAAAATCACCTTGTCAATGAGACCTTCTGCAACTACCTTACTGAAAGTTGCAGTTTCTCATTTCCAGTAAAAGCACTTCTACTGCCTTTTCTTAACGTCCTTCTCCACACCACTTGCTGCCAACAAACATGTTTGTGTGTGTCTATACACACACACACACACACACACACACACACACACGATTTATTTGCTGGTGTTTTTTCTCCCCTAGCCTTTGAAATTAAACTCTGTGAAAGTAGTGCCTTTTGGTTTTATTCACTACTCTATCCCCAGAGCCTAAAGTAGTGCTCAGCAAAAAGTGGACATTCAATAAATACTAGTTAAATTGATCTAAATTTTATCGTAATTGTTCTCATCTTATTTTACATTCTCTGTCCTTTTGGGGTATCCATGTCTTTTTTTTTTCTGAACAACATATGGGATTTTATCCAAATCACCTACCTCCGCTCAATGATGTAGAAGATACCTGTCCTCCTATTTTTATTCTACTAGTGGTTACCTTAAATTGTAAAAGAAATTTGAAATTGTTGATTCTCTCTGTGTAAGTTAAAAGTTTAGCACTCATCCCTTGGATGCATTTCAGTTTTTGATAATGTATTTTAGACCAAAATTATTATTTTTTACAATTTTAAGTGATACATTTTGCAATTTACATTATTTTATAAAAATATGATTTAAATTTTACTCTATGTGTAAATAGTTTCACTCTCACTGTTACTCAGCTTATATCACCATTTTTCCATTTCCTAAGTTCTTCAATTTGACTGTAATTTTTTGGGAGATATACGTGAAAAAACAAAAGCAAAAGGCATTAACAGGAAAACACCAAAAATTGAGTACACTGAAATTAAAAACTTCTTATATATATATGTCATGGATTGAACTGTGTCCCCCAAAAGTATCTGTCAACTTGGCTGGGTCATGATTCTCAGTATTGTACGATTATGTAGCATTTTGTAATCTGATGTGATTTCCTTATGTGTTGTAAACTCTATCACTATGATGTAATAAGATGGATTAGCAGCAGTTATACTGATGAGGTCTACAAGATTAGATAATGTCTTAAGCCAATCCCTTTTGAGATATGAAAGACCGAAGTGAGCAGAGAGACATGGGAACATCATACCACCAAGAAAGCAGCACCGGGAGCAGAGCGTATCCTTTGGACTTGAGGTTCCTGTGCTGAAATGCTCCCAGACCAAGGGAAGACTGATGACAAGGACCTTTCTCCAGAACTGACAGAGAAAGAAAAGCTCCCCCTGGAGCTGACGCCCTGAATTTGGACTTGCAACCTACTAGACTTTGAAAGAATAAATTTCTCTTTGTTGAAGCTATCCACTTGTGGTATTTCTGCTATCGCAGCACTAGATGACTAAGACAATCTATATCACTGGAAATAGTAATAAATAAATGACAAGCAACAGACTAGAAGAATATACTTCTCACATGTTGTTAGTTACCGTAGAGTTGATTCTGACTCACAGTGACCTCATCTGTGCAGAGGTCTGAACTGCTCCATACGGTTTTCAAGGAGTCCCTGGGTGGCACAAGCAATGAAGTGCTGGACTACTAGCCGAAAGGTTGGCAGTTTGAACCCACCCAGAGGCACCTTAGAAGATAAGCCTGTTGATCTGTTTCCGAAAGGTCATTTCTCATATATAACACAAAATTAGTTATCTAAAATAACGAATACCTACAAATCAATTTTTTTAAAGGACAAATAATCCAATAGAAAAATTGGAAGTGATACAGACGACTCATTTAAACCACAATAGAAATGACTAACAATTATATAAAAAGATGCTGGAGTTCACCAATAATCAACAAAATACAAATTAAAGCCAAGTACCATTTTTTACATATTGGATTTTAAAAGACTAAAAATATTAAGATGTTGGTGATAATATATTCTCATAAATTTCCAGAGTGTAAATTTTTACAGCTACTTAAGAGGGCAATCTAGCATTACCTATAAATAATATAAATGTCTATCAATAAGGAACTGATAAAATAAACTGCATAGTCATACAAAGTAATACCACACAGACGTTAAAAAGAATGAGAAAAATCTGTGTGTTACTAACACGGTTAGATCTCCAAATCAAACTACTGATTGGAAAAGTGAAAATAAAAAACATGGAAATAAAAATACAAAATTAAAATACACATATGCAAAGCAAAAATTTCTGGAGCTTTTTATCAATTTTAATCAATAGCCTCAACAATGGGCTCAAACATATCAAAGAGGATGGAGATGGTGAAGGACTGGACAATGTTTCATTCTGTTATACGTAAGGTCATCATGAGTCATATCTGACTGGATTTCGATTAACAACAATATCAACAAATCATTCCTATAGGTATTATTATGGACACACAATATAAAATATAGAAAATTATCTAGAAAGACTAAACTTATAAACATGATACTTCTAAGGAAGCAAAGGCCCAAAAGAATATATACTATACATACGATGTGATTATATAACAACTATGATATCAGAAATTAAATTAGGGGTTACATATGGAGAGAACAGAGTGTATAAGGATTGGGAATAACCATGCAAGAAGCTTCTAGGATGTTGTCAATGTTCTATTTTGTGACCTAGGTAGCAGTTTCACAGAAGTTTGCAAATTCTGTGTTATATATGATAAGGAGCCCTGGTGGTACAGTGGTTAAGTGCTCAGCTGCTAACTGAAAAGCTGTCAGTTCAAACCCACCAGCCACTTTGTGGGAGAAATATGTGACAGTCTGCTTCCGTAGATTTACAGCCATGGAAACCCTGTGGGGCAGTTCTACTCTGTCCTATAGGGTCATATGAGTTGGAACTGACTCAGTGGCAATGGGTATATGGTAAGTATTTTCTCCATGTCTGTTTCTTGCCATTAATATTGAGTGTATGTGTGTGTTTTAATTTCAGTGTACTTGAATTTATACATATGATCTGCTGAGCTATACATATTTATGCTTTGGGTACTTTACTGTGCTATACTTAACAACGGAAACCCTGGTGGTGTAGTGGTTAAGAGCTACGGCTGCTAACCAAAATGTCGACAGTTTGAATCTACCAGGCGCTCCTTGGAAACCTTATGGGGCAGTTCTACTCTATCCGAGAGGGCCACCATGAGTTGGAATCGACTCGATAGTAACTGGTTTTACAATTAATGAAAGTTAAGCTAATCTTCAATAACAATAAACCATCTAGAATCTAAACCTAGTTTACCTGTGATTTTTTCTTTCCTGGAACACATATTTTCACACTTTTTCCTTTTATCAGAAGAGGCATTGTTTCAGCGTACTTCATAACTGCAGTAATTGCCTCTTTAAATTCCATTTTCAAGTAAGCCTAAAATAAATAACAAATTTATTCCCTTTTTACTCCAAAATACAAACAAAAAATTCTACGTATTTTTAAATGGACTTAATACTTCCTTGTGGAACACAGACTGTAAAATCACCTCAAGTCCTTTCTTTATCCTTTGTTAAAGTGTAATTTGATCTTTAAGATGTTATCACACATGAAATGGACATTTAAGCTTGTCCACTTTGAGAACTTCTATACTGTCACCTAGTTTAAGAAGAGGGACACAGGGTTCCATGGCAGGCTCTTGGAACAAGAGAAAATGGGAAGACGGAGCTCACAAAACAACAAAAGGGAAGACAGGACCTAGTCTATCTTGCTTAAAGTCCAAAACTTTTTAAGGCTTCTTGCAATAAAGAAGAAACTATCACTATGTTCCCTTCTCTCACAAATTTATGTTTTGCTTAGTTTAGGGCTGTTCATAGTTTTGATTAACTTTATCATGTTAGTTACAGGAATACAACACATAAGCAAATAAATCCTTACTGTACAAATGAAATCATTTGTTGTAGTGTAACTTGACTGGTATTCTAAAGCAGGGGTTGGCAAACTGTGGCCTGCTACCTGTTTTTGTAAGTAAAGTTTCACTGGAACATACCCATACTAATTCATTTATATGTATCCTATCTATGGCTGCTTTTGCACTGCAGTGGCAGAGTTGAGTAGGTGCAAACACATGCTCTACCGGTAAAGCCTAAATATTTACTATCGGGCCCTTTACAGAAAAAATGTGACAATCTTAGTTCTAAAATATACAAAAGAATATTTTAGAACATTTGTACATTCAAATCCAAACATTTACATAACTCTCAATGAACAATTATATGTGATAAAGTGGCTGAGAGACCCAACAACTGTCTTTAAATAATCACTAAAGTAATGACCCTGTATGCAATTTTTAGAATAGATCAATTGACTCACCTCCTTTCTATACGGAACAATCAGTACATCACTAACTTTTCCAAATGGTTGAAATACTTTTCTAATTTCTTCTTCAGTACAGCTATCCTCTGGTAATTCAGATACAACAAGAACTGAACCATAATTCAAAGACTGGTCTTTCCGCAGCTATGTTTGCAGAAGAAAAAATTAAAAATAAACTAAGTCACTAAGTACAGTAATAACAATTCCCAATATAATTTGTTTTACCACTAATCTTAGTCCTTTAAGAGGTCTGGTCTAAATATTTTAGCACAATTTTAAAATTTTAAGTAAAAGTGAAAAGACATACTTTTTGATGTTACATCATTCACACCCAACAGTGGTAAAGAGTTTATAGGTCAAATAATCAAAGATGCTCCTGTAGACCCGTTTCTGTTAATGAGCATTCTGTAATGATCAAGACCTATGGAATGGCCCAAAGCCATTAAAGAATATTTAATGAACCTGTGTGGCCGATCAAGTAATGAAGCCAAAAAATTATAGCTTTATTTCCCCTGAATTTTAATAACTGAAAATGATATCTTAGATAGCTATAATATCATTTTAATATTAATGTTATGTTGTTTATAGCTGCTGTTGAGTCAGCCCGACTCACAGCAACCCCATTTGTTACAGAGTAGAACTGCTCTGTAGGATTTTCTTCTCTGTAACCTTTACAGAAGCAGTCTGGCAGGACTTTCTTTCGTGGCACCGCTGGATGGGTTCGAACTGCCAACCATTATACCACCTATGTTAAAAATTGACTAAAAATTTTAAAAGTTCTACTGAAACCATCCAGAAGTCTTAAAATAAAATGAAACCATCTTTATATATTATTAGACAAATTTAGCATCCTTCAACTTTTCCCCATATTCAATCTCTCCTCAATTCTCTTCAAAATTCTGTAATTGCAGGCTGATAATTTTAAGTTTATCCTTCTAAATATAAGCTCTTTGGGGCAGGGAATAGCAGTTGTTGAAAGTCTTTAATGTATGTAAACAACTCTGAGAACAATGTGTACCTAAATACTCGAATACTTTTTAATATTATGAATATTCCATATTAACGTAATTTTCAACAAGTCACCATTTCAAACTTATTGGAAATATGGAAATAAAATTCAGTCAACTTTCTGTTTGCCCTAACAACAAATGTATGCATACTTGCACTAACAAATTATACAATTACTAACCTTACGCTGGAGAGAAACAGCTTTATCAGACACCTGTTTACATTCTGGTAAGCTACCATCTTCAGGATTCTTCGACTTATAACGAATATTTGAATCACTCTTCGTAGAGCTTGTAGATTTAACTGATGGTTTTGATCCACTGCTAGTTTTAGGCTTTTGTGCTGGTGAGTGTCCTTTATCAACTGCTTCAGAATGCTTCTTTTTACTTGATTCTGATCCATGTCTAGATCGTTGTACCGTATCTTCTGAGGCTTTTTTCCTATCTAGTAAAAAGAACATAAATAAAATTTCAATTGAAAAGAACTTAAGGTAGGAACATTACAAAATAAATAATAATTCCTCAAGATGCCCAAATATTCATCACAAAGAGTCATTCTCAAGATAAACAGGGACCATATATACAGAAAAAAATTAGTAGTCTGTTTACTCAAAAAGCTATTTTATGTGGGATTCCTGTATTCAATGAGCTTCCCTTACATTTTGGCTTCAGGAATCCTTTACACTCTTAAAAACTGAAGATCCCAAAGAGCTTTTGCTTGTGTTATATTTATCAATTATGACCATATTTGAAATTAAAATAGAATTTTAAGAATATTTGTTAATTCATTAATGTAAAAAAATCCATGTTAACATAAATATTTTATGAAAAATAACTATATTTAAATAAAAACTAAAACTAGTGAGACGAACGGCACCAGTGTACATTTTTGCAAAAATATTAATATTGCACTTAAAAGAAAACACCTGGATTCTCGTGTCTGCTTCTACAGTCAATCTGCTGGACACACTGTTTTGGCTGAAGTATATAAGGAGTATCAGCCTCACACTGATATGTAGTTGGGAAAGGACTTCAAGGGACCTGAGAAGACCTCGGGAACCATCTAGGGGTTCTTGGACCGGACTCTAAGAACCACTGCCTCATACATTTAAAAGTAACTATATTTACACTCCATCTTTAAGAATACATTGAATACAGTAAGAGATCTGTTCAAAGTAGTTCCTAAATGCTAACAATGGTATCTTTCATTGTACAGGTATAGTTTAATATATATGAGCTATTTCTATAAAGGTCACTAAGCCGATATTAAGACACAGGTTGAAAATGTGAATAATTTCAAAAAAGTTTTCAATAAATTCATGGACGATAGATCTCTAATCAATTTAGCCTATCTAAGATGTTAGTATATCCTTGATTTTTTAATTTGATACTGGATGAACAGATATACTACTCTCCCACTTTTCTTCTTACAGTTGCTAGAGGACAGAAGAATGAACTAGGTTGAGCTGTGGGTCACATATGATAAAGCAATTCTAAAATTTAACAATATAGACCAATTTCATACCTTAAAAACATTTTAAAGAGCTGAAGCTAATAGCTAAAAATGTGAACTTTTGTTAAATCTTAGCAGTAGTACCTAAATCATCATTTCAAACATATTGGAAATATAGAAATAAGAAAATCCAAAAAAAAAAAAAAAATTGGTCTAAAGAAGTAGATTTATTATTTCATGGCCATCAGTATACCTGATGATCTCCTTGATGTTCTTTCAGAGCGAAGTGATCGATAGCACTCTGGGCTAAATGGAACTCTAATTCGATATGCTGGATTAGGTGATCTGGATCTGGATCTGTATCTAGGAAAAAAACGATGGCCAACTCTTGGACTTCGACTTCTCGGTCTATATATATAGCGTACTGGGCTTCGAAATCGATGGAACCTGTGACTTGAACTTGATCTCCTAGAACGCCTAGGAGTAGGAGAATGAGAACGTCTTCTTGGAGTCTGATCCTCTTTCCTACTGCCTTCATTTCTACAAAACATGGGGGGAAGAACACAACAAACAGGATTCTGGAATTTAATGTAAATTTAAATTATATTAATTGACAGAAGTTTATCTTCTTAGAAACAGACTATTAGCAATACCAAACTCTAATGTGCATTTACGTTTAAAAAAACAAAAACAAAAAGCCCTGTTTTTTTAAGTCCAAATTCAGCCTTATGGGTAAATAAGCAACGATTAGAACAGATGATCAGTCCTCCAATTGCTCCACTGGATTCCTCTGTTTCGCTAATAGAAAAATATCACCATTCTTGGACTTTTTCCATAAAAATATTACATCTAATTATGTTTTGAAGATATTAATTATATAATTTAGGAAACAATTTTAACAAACAAGTGTTTTTCAACAATTTTTATCCTGAAAGTTTACACTGTCTACAAATGTTTCTTGACTGTTGTATTTGCATATATACACACTGAGTACAGTGCCCTAGGGGATCATACATACAGGGAAAAATTATTAGCCTCTGTCTATTCAAAAGGCTACTTTACATAGGGTTCCTATATTCAGTGAGCTTAATAAGGCTACTCTTAGCCTTCAAGGAATTTACAATCTCAGATCTCATAAACCTAAGTCAGCATACAATATTTTCAGAGAAGATTAGGGAAAGTAGAAGTTCAGAGATGGAGCTATCAGTTTTGAGCTGGAGTGATCAAAGAAAGATTCACAAAGTCTGCTGCATTTGTCCACTGTTTAAAAATAAAAACGATGAATAAACCCCCTACTCCCTGAAAAAAGCAAACCCATTGCCACTGAGTCGATTCTGACTCATAGTGACCCTACAGGACAGAGTAGAAACCCAAAGGGTTTCCAAACAGCAGCTGGTGAATTTGAACTGCTGACCTTTTGGTTTGCAGCTAAGCTCTTAACCATTGCGCCACCAGGGCTCCTAAAAATGATGAATAAACCCATTGCTGCTGAGTGGATTCTGACTCATAGTGACCATATAGGCCAGAGCAGAACTGCCCCATAGGGTTTCCAAAGAGTAGCTGGTGGATTCAAACTGCTGACATCTCGGTGAGCGGTCGAGCTCTTAATCACTGTGCCACTAGGGCTTCAAAAATGCTGAATAGTAGGACTCAATTCTAAACAGTATCTTTTTTAAAAAAAGTTCTTGTTTAATCTTAAAAGAAAATCGAGTTTTAATAATATCACTATTTTAAAAAGAATTACCTTCTTGATGGGAGGATCTCAGGATTCCAATCAGGATACCTATTTTGAGAATAAACAAAATTAAGGAACAGCTAAAATAAGACTATAAAGCTCAATTAATTTTTCCCTGCAATATACCAGAAGAACTATCCAAAATCTAAGTCTGCATGGTAATTTACTAGTACATTAAACTAAGAAAATTTCGTTTTATTATTTATTGAATGTCTAAGTCAATAAATAATAAAAGTATTACACTAGTAGACACATCAGGGACAGGAAGCACATTCCTCATACTTATGAAGGCCTCAGAATTAACTATTGATAAATACAGATCAAAAGTATATGAATGTTTACTATCCTTTCAATATTCTGAGACTCGGAAAATTTTCAAAAAAATACGCTGAGGGCCAAAAAAGGAGAAAAGATCCAGGAGTCAGACAGACAAGTTGTGCCTCTTATCAGCTGTATGACAGTAGGGAAGTTACCTCTCTGTGCTGTTTCCTCATTGGTGAAATCAGGAATAATCATTGTATCTATACCTAATAAGGTTGTTTTAGATTAAATATGTAAAGCACTTAGAATAATGTCCCCCACTTAATGACAACTATTATCATTTATTATATTGTTAATACTAAAAGTTTGATGCCCTGGACCTTTTCTTAAGTTAATTAACTACCCTGTGTCATAATCCAGAAAGATAACAAGGTCACATTTATGACAAAGAGAGGGAGATGGGAAGCCTTAAGAAGAGGAATAAGAACCTAAATACACATCGACAGAAGAATGACTAAACAGATTAAGGTATATCCACACAATGGAACACTATGCAGCGCTTTTAAAAGAATGGGGTAGCATATGTTTTGTCATGGAAACATCCTAAGCACCTAATTAAATTGAGCTGATTTGTTAAATTTTTTGCAGAGGAGAGAAAGTAATGAAGAATATTACTCAAGAGCACACAACCTGAGTAACGTTAAAAAAAAAAAATTCAGTAATAGAGTAGAGCATTAAAGTGGCAGGCATGGAAAGCACATGCTTTTAAAATCACGGTCCTATGTGCATGAAAAAAATAACAGGCATATACACACAGAGGCTTTAACAGGTATACAATGCTGTTTCCCTTAATAGAATGGCACTGCATGCAGCTAGAATCCTTTTTTTTTTCCTTTTTTTATTGCACTTTAGGTAAAACTTTAAAGAGCAAATTAGTTTCTCATTCAACAATTTATATACTAATTGTTTTGTGGCACTGGTTGCAATTCCTGCCATGTGTCAACATTCTCCCCCTTTTCCAGCCATCCAATTCCCTGTTTTCCATCCATCCTTCCATGTTTCCTGTCCTTTCCTGCCTTCTCATCACAGCTTTTGGGCAGATGTTGCCCTTTTGGTCTTGTATACATTAGGGAACTAAGCCATACGTTCCTCATGCATGTTACTGTTTGTTTCACAGACCTATAATCTTTGGCCGAAGGATGAACTTCAGGAGTTGCTTCAGTTCTGAGTCTGGGGGTAGAATCCTCCTCTTGTTATATGCTATTGATTTTTGACTCACAGTGAGCCAACAACTAGATGAGACTGACGAGAGTGAAACTACCCATAGGGTTTTCTAGGCTGTAATGTTTACGGGAGCAGATTGCCAGGTCTTTTCTCCCGAGGAGCCGCTGGGTGGGTTCAAACCACCAACTTATCAGTTAGAAGCCAAGCACTTAACCACTGAGCCACCAGGGCTCCTAGCATGTAAATAGCTCATTACCACCTTCAAAAAAAAATGGGTGCCAGTGGGAAGATCTATGGCTTAGGAGAGATTCTCCATTTAAAGTGGCAGTTTAAGTTTATCCAATTCAGGTAACAAATTATCTCCCTATGATAAACCTACATTTGTTTGTACAGCCTCCATACTGGGAACCAACATCAATCTCTAATCTTAGTCTGTATGATTTAAGTGGGGTTTATTCCACCCTCAACTCCAGTAGGCAAATGACATCAACTGAGTAGACCAAGAGAGACAAAGCAAGGACTTCTGCAGGGGCTGGGAGAAAAGAGATGACTTTCATTTTGACTCCTGAAAGTGCCAACTATACAGATCACTTAGGTCCATGCGGTACAACTAATTACTTTTGTGTGTGGCCTTTCTAGCCATGGTCTTGTAACTCCCATCCAGGTGATTGTGTGATAGGATAATTGTGGCCTACCAAGAGGATTGGTCGGTTTTGCCTTAAGAGAGAGCCAATTCTAGAGCAAAGATAAGGAGCCCATCACCACCAAGGAAAGAGAGACCAGCAGGAAAAGACCCAGCAGCAGGAGACAGCGCAGTGGGCTTCCCAGCCCATGGAAAAAGAAAGCTGAGTGCCTTTGGGCAGAGACTGAGGGCCAGAAGAGGCATGCCTGTGAGCACAGCTGGGAAGAGGCTATCCTGATGGAATAACTGTATCCTGAGCATTCTTGAGCCTGAACTGTAACTGTAACTTCCCTTAATAAACCCCATAATTGTGTGTATGGTCTTTGAGTTCTGTGTGGCCAATGCAATGAAATCACTGAATCCAGTAGAGAGTGCTGTAGGAGGGATAACTGGTGTCAGAATTGATAGAGACAGTGGAGAGAGGAGGTGTATCTGACCTCCACCTCACAGGAATCGGCCCTGGGCTGTTGATCTTGGTTCTCCTTCCTCCTTGTGGGGTTGGAGGAGGTCAGACACCTCCCCCATGCCATTTTTATAGCCCAAAACTATGGAGGCCATTTTGCCATGTGAAGAAAGTCTGCCCGACATTTCACGAAGCCAATGTAGGGAAAAAAAAAAGGTAAGAAACGGAGACATTTCTGACTCTTTGATTTTTGTCTGAGCACCCAATGCAGCTGTCCTGAAACTAGAACTAGTTCAAATTCCTTCAATGTTCCAGTTAAATGAGCTAATAAATGCCTTTTCACTTTTTAAAAACTATTTTGAATTGGATTTGTCACTTGTGACTAAGAGTTCTAGATAACAATCTCAAAAATTTTGTGATGTTTTCATAAAGAACAAAGTAAAAAACCAAAACAGCTGCCACAAATCCATTTGCCCAAGAACATGTCATTATCACTCTGCTGATCTTATTTAATTCTCCCTCTTTGAAAAAATATTAAACATACTTCTATAAAATTAATATTTTAAAAAGGCAATAGCTTTCTAAAAATGTTTTTCTCCAAAGTATCAAAGTAAAAGTATTTAACAATCCTATCTCAACATTAACTATCTTATAACATGCTATCTGTAAAAAAGGGAGAAAAAAATGTTCTTACTGTTGACGTAACTGTCGGCAGCTCTCAATATGAGTTGATGTATTTTGATGCTGAATCCAATCCTATTGTAAAAGGAGAAAAGTGCTGAAATTAGAATATTCCTCATGGTGACTACTGACTATTAGCTGTTTCAAAATGACACAACAAATAGTTTTTTTTTCCAAAAAATTAAGCAAATCTAGTTATAAATAGCATTTGACTGCTCAATACAATTTTCACAAACAAAATTTAAAGGCCCCAAACAAATGCACTTAATACCGTATCTCACTGATCTCGTTTTATTTTAGTATAAAAAACATTTTAAAAATCATACTCATGGACACTCATTTTGAAATCAAATATATATTTAAACTTGGGAGAAAATAAAAGCATGGATCAGAAAATAACTCATCTCAAACATAAAATCAACACTCTGGAAAACACCAAAAATTCTACAGATAAAATGCCATCTGTGAAATGGGATCTTCAAAATACAGGGTGGTCTTAAACGCCTTACACCTTTAGAGTTCAAGCTAACAACGTCAACAACAGAAAAATTCTACCTCTTAAGCCAATAACATTCCAATACTATATTGGCAAATGATAAGGTTAGTAAAGATGGGAAAAATTCCTACTGATCAAATCTATTTTCAAGATTTAAGGGAAAGGAACACCATTTCAAAGAAACAATAGCCCTTACATATAGAGCTTTACAGTTAACAAAACGCTTTCTTACACATTAATTAACAAACAAATCTGCTTTAATACTACAATCTATACCCATAAATAGCTCCTGAAAGATACATGGGGGGGAGTACAATTTTCAAAGATACAGTCCCAAAAGTGAAACAATTAGTTGAAAGCAATGTGTATATTACTCAATGTATTTTGTTCTACCAGCATTTAAATAGGCAGAGAAGTTACTACATAATCCTGTATTTTAAAACTTTTGAGGAAAATGTTCATTTCCATTTCAAAAATTTTAGTTTATATCTTGCTAAAGATGAACTAGTAGTTTCCACAGTTTAAGCTACAGTTGACACTAATTTTGGATTCTGCCTTAGCCAGAACTATCTGAAAATAGGTGCATGCTACTTGCAATATTCAGCAACAAGTTATACTCAGCCGGAAGTTATGTCCAAACCCTAAACTATTCCATTAAGCCATGAAACTAACTGTAGATCGCAAAAAGGAAATGTCTGCATATCCTGCTCAGTGATACAAACAGAAAGCTAGAAGGAATTGGCAGTTAAAGAGTCCCTAGCAGTGCTAAACCCCAGTCTTTGTTATTAACTGGATATTATTTACATCAAACAGACACACTGGCAGATAGCAGGTTGGGTGTGATTTATTTGGACCATAAAAATGTTTTATTTGAATAAATTGCCAACACTTAAAAATACAGAGATTTTACCCTCTAATCCAGATTTCCAGCTTTTCTTGAAAAAATAAGATATAATACTGACCATGTATTCTACATAGCATCTATCAGCTGAAGCTGATAGCTGCCTTCTTTATTTTAGGCATACTGTCTTTTCAGTTCAACACAGACATATACATACCCACTCCCTACTGTCTTAAAAGACTCACTTCACTCAATGACATTACTGCTTTAACTCAGTAAATATGTCTATGCCATCCCAATTTCTAGACTCTCTCTAGTTAACAGCTTCCAGATTAGATAAGGATCCAAAGCAGCACTGCCTATTCAGAGACACAGTGCTAATTACCTACTAAGGAGGAGTTGCTGCAAGAGTTCTAGACTTGAGTGGGTCCAGAATGAAACTGTGCAAATACCTACCACCCATATCAGAGCTCCAACTACCTCAAAAATCTTTTACGTTGGTCAGTATTTTCTCGAACTGCATTATTTCTATCAGTCAGAAAAATATAGCTTCTGAACCAAAGACAGGTTATATGAGCATTTACTTCCTCCTCCTCTGAAGTCTGAACCCCAGTTCAGAAAAGAAATTTATTTCAATTTCTATTGTTGCCTTCTCAAAGTACATCTTCAGGCTATAGTTTTAAAGATTGGGAGGTGGGGGACAAAGACTTGTCAGATGTTACTTAACAGGAAAAAATTTACAATTGCTAATTTACATTTATTGACTACATACTTATAATGTCATATATATGCACTCTTACAAGGCAGCAAAAATGTATCACTGAAATGAGAGAGGTCATTTGTACCATCAAAGTCCATGTTCATAAAACCCTATCATTTAGCCATCCAGTAGTGAAGAATTCATTACTTAGGTCACCCATTTGGTTGTGTTGCTCAGACTGTTAAAAGGTGTTTGGTTTGTTTTTAACGGCAATCTCTACGAGATCCAAAGGAGCACTGGTGGTGTACCGGTTAACCACTCAACTACTAACTCAAAAGCTCGCTGTTCAAACCCATCCAGCAACTCTGCAAGAGGCAGACCTGGCAATCTGTTTCCATAAAGATTACAGCCAAAAAAAAACCTTACAGGGCAGATCTACTCTGTCACATGGGGTTGTTCTAAGCAGGAATCAATCCCACCACACCCAGCAGTAACAATGAGCTCTAATGAATGATCACTAAATGATTTCTATTCCTCTCAAATTTTTACTGTTACCATATTAATGCCAGCTTTCACCATCTCACACCTGAATAACTAGAGAAGCCTCTTAATTAGGCATCCTACCCTATCTCTTCTCATTTCTATTCACCCTGCACACTTCAACCAGATATATCTCCTAAAATCTACTTTTCAGCATGTCACTTCACATATCAAGAACCTTAATTAGCTTTTCAAGGCCTTCATACTTATGTAATATGCTCAACACTCTCTTCCAATCACCTACCACGACAATGCAATGTTTAAGTCATTTCTCAGGACTTTTGCCTCTCTGTACATTGCTGCTCCTACCTGGAATGTCATCCCTTTTCCCCTACGCATATCTAAAGCCTACTCATCATTCAAGATCTATCTTCAAACTACTCCCATAAAGTCTTCCCTCCCAAATAATTCTAGTCCAGAAAGACACAGTCACTGTCAATTACAGTCTTAGTCATCTAAACTATAAAAGCCCTTTGATGCCAGAAAGTTTATACTTTTTTTAATCATATACTGCTAGATACACAGTAAGTGTTAATGAATTAACAATGGCCTAAACTGCTATAAGCCTGAAATCAAGACAGAAATATTAAATCTCTCTCCCCTACAGCATACTCATACCAGTAGAATACAATCACTGAACCATCTGTTGCCCTCTAGTGTTTTTTAACTCTTCAGATGTGTAATTTTTCCCCTCAATGAGACTGTATAAACTGCTTAAGAAAAAGGGCTAAATTTTATACAGTTCTTCATTTCTGCCCAGCATCTAATATAAATCAATTCCAACTCATAGGGATCCTACAGGACAGAGTAGAACTGCCCTACAGGGTTTCCAAGGCTGTAATCTTTAGAGAAGCAGACTGCCACATCTTTCTCCCGCAGAGCAGCTGGTGGGTTCAAACCACCAACCTTTCGGTTAGCAGCTGAGTGCTTAACCACGGCACTACCAGGGCTCCTAGCATCCAATACAGTCATGTACAAAACTGGTAATCATTAAATATTTACTGAATAAATGTATACCTTTTCTACTCTACAGAATAAAAATTAAAACTTTATTTTCATTTTTACCTTTATTCTGGGACTCACCATGACTAATTAAAAGTTCAAAATAAATGGACAAACTATGTGGTGTGCTCAGTCACAAGAATACAGAAATCCTAATACTCTATTCAGAATGTAGGCCAGAGCCACTTATTGATTAAGTGCTCTCAATTATTCTGAGATTTTTCAAGGTAAAAACTTTGCTATCCCTTTTAATCAGGATAAGACAACTATCACTTTACTTGAACTCAGCAAATCTGGCTAGAATGAGTATTACTGCCGTGAGGGTTAATGACAAGCAGCAAGGCTGTTTTCCTTGGCTAGAGTTAACCTTAAGACATCTTGTTGGCTGAAACCCTGTGTGTAGGTATAGAAAACCAATAAAAGGGCAGCAATGGAAGGAGAATAAACAGAGGGTCATCACCTATAGATTTGTGTAGGGAAGTACACAACCAATGCTACAGCCTTGAACCAAAGCTTGTTCCTTTGGGAAGTACATTCCTTCCTGACCCTTTATAATCTAATGTCAGGAAGCATATTTACACATTTATACATATTTATACATCAGTGACTAAAAACAGTGGCTTTTAAACATATATAAGTAAACAAACTTACTTGAAAATTCCTACTTAAATCTACCAATTACTACTATAAAACAGTATACTGTATTCTACATTATACCACTAACCTACTCTTGAGCATCTCTGCAAAATACTACCTTCTAACTATATGACCATGAAGGTACCTAAAGTTTCGTTATTTTTTAAAGATCCTTCTCTCAAAATTTTCATCCTTTTACTCTTTATTCCTGCTTACAAGTGGTCCTCAAATAGTTCATTCACATTGACTCAAATTTTTCTATGGATTTAGGAAGCTCCTTCTCACGAGATCCTGAAAGTCACTAGTATGTACAGTCAGAAAACATATAAATCTACATTAACTGTCATTAGCCCAAGATAGGTAGATACATGCAAGGCTACAATACACTGTCTCTTAAAAGTATGCAGAACAAATGTGTTATGTCAATATTTTATATTTTCACACTAACAGACAAATAGGTAATCCTCTTATTTAGATAAAGGTGACTTAGGCGACACTGTCATAAATATGAAGCTTATGCTGTATAAGTATTTTCTGGGATTCATCATAACTAATTAAAAGTTCAAAATAAATGAGCAAATTATGTACTATGCCCAGTAACAGGAATTCAGAAAACCTAACACTCAAGTCTGTACTTAAGCCAGGGCTACTTACAGATTACAACTAAGTGCTGATGTTGAAATAAAAATTAGTTCTGCCATTTCCATAATGCTTAGTTAACACCAGCATACATATCGGAATTTAGAGGGAACTTAGGCGCTGAGTATCATTATACAGTGATCTTTAAAAACACTCACCTTCAAATGACTACATTCTACGTTACACAGAGAACACAAATGTGGAAATATTCTTGGAGACGCTGCATAATAATCATTCATCATAGAAGGAGTTGGAAGTCTCTTCATCTTCTGGGCATCAGCATGTGAAAACTTTGGTAGCCATGATGCTTTCACAATCCCAAAGGGTGACTGAATGGGAGCCTCATCCTCTGACTGGTAATTCTTTTTACTTCCCCCTGATCCAGCGTGTACATTAGATGAGTTAATCACAGGTTCATGAGGGATTCGCTCTTGTTGGCTTACGGTTGAAATTAATTCAGAAGAAAAAGGTTGCTGGTTCATAGATGGAGTTATCAGAGACTGACTTGTTGTCTGGCTAACTGTCTGGCTAATCCGTTGGCTCACGGATTTCACGGGTTCAAGGACTGACTGTCCTCCTGAAATGTGTAAGCCTGACATCTTGGTTCCACTTTCAACTGGGAAATAAGACTGATTATTGGAGGACTCACTGGGGAAGTCCATCTGTCTGAATACATCTTCAACAGGAAACATAGAATTACATATCACATTTGAAGCAGGAACAGATGCAGAAATGTTCTGCTGTGACCGAAATTCATTCTCGACCTCATCAGTTGGAATTTCAGGGTCATAAATACGTACTTCAAGTGGATCTTCTGTGTAGCCATATTTGCTCGCATGCCCATAATCAATCACATTACTTGAAACTGCCTCACTACCAAGTGTTTCTTTACTTCTACTCTGAGAAGGTAAATTAGGTAATCGGCGCCCCATTTTCCGCATTCTTATATCCCTCAAAATTAATGGCATATTTTCAGGAGTTAGCTGTTCATCAGGATAGCGACTGAGTTCTTCTAAGTCTTCATTAGATAATCCAAAACTTGCTAAGATACTTGAGGCACTCTCTTTTGTATAGCGACTCTGCACTTTAGGACTCTGCTCTGTAGCCTGTGCTATAGAACTCTGTTTCACTCCTACTGATGCAGATATATGAGACTCATCATCCCACCGGCTACCATGAGGCTTCCCCTTCTTTTGTTGTGCTTCATGAAAATCCAATTTTTCTTTGGTCAATCTTGGATCAGTTCGGTGTTGGGTTACCTGAACATTCATTCTCTGTGGTCCCACGTTCTGATAAGATTCATGACCAGCAAATCTGTGTGGAATTCCACGAGCTCTTCCTGCTGAGTAATATCTTGGAAGACCCATAGATCCAGGTCTCATAAATGGTCCTGGAGGCCTCATCCCAGAAGGGTTAGGTGCTCGCGGCCTCTGAAGTGGAAAGTTTCCTCGAGGATTAAACCTGGGTCTCGACATGGCTATTTTCAAGAAAGCCTGATTTAATAAAGTATAAGGTGGTGCTGAACCATGTGAGGCAACGGCATTCAGCTGCTGAAGCGCCAACTGAGTCTTAATCTGAGCAAAGTGCAAAGGAGATGGGCCCAACAGAAGTGGGTTTGCAATGCCCAGGTTCAAGGAATTCACAAGTGGTGCGAAATTTTCCAAGAATAACACAAAGCTGAAAGTTAAAACACAAACATTAGATCATTTTAACTCAAACTATTCCATGAAGTGGGTTCTACAGGCAGTGTAAAACATTTTGAAATAAAGCCATGAAAACCATTCTGCACTTCACATATTTCAGAGTAAGGGATCATGAGGATTTAAAACTTCCCCCTAAATTTTTCTTCTTTCCTTTCCTGAATCCAGAACACAAACCTCAAGCCAGAGTTCATGTATGTTATGTTGTACTCGATGCTGTCCTAGGTGCTGAGTGGTAATTATAATTTCTTCTAAATAATCTTGAAAAAAAATTAGGAATTTATTTCATACTTTAATATGGAAAGAAAAGATGAAGACACTGAAATACTTAGAAATGAATACATATTTAATATGTATGTCATCAAACCTGCAAACAATGAATATAGGAACTGTAAACCTTAAGTTTTATAGGACTCAATTCTCTAAGATATATTCTTCCTTAGAATCAGCCTTTACATCTAGTAATTTTCACATGGCAATTAACTATGCTTTGGTTTCTGTTATTAAATAGTTGTTTCTCTTAAGATTAAAAACATGTTGCCAATAATTCAACTACACAATTTGACAAGGCAGTATTGGTAATACATAATTGGTTTTAACATACAACATAATAAGTAACAAAACCAGTAACCCTACTCTCCGTAGTGAGAGGACAAATATACACAGATAGTAACAACGGCTAACTTTATTGAACACTGTTCATACTGAATAGTATTCCAAGCACTTTATTACATGGATTGATTGATTCATTTACTTCTGACAATACCCTGAGATATGGTCAATTTTACAAAGGAAGACATTAAGGCATAGAAAGGTTAAGTAATTTTCCTAAGGTTACACCATTAATAAGTGGCTGGCTCAGGATTTGCATTCAAAGTAATCTCTCCCCCAAAGCCATGCTTTTAACCACCAATAGATGTGAGCAAGAATATCTTGCAGTTTTCATATGCTCTAACAGTTAAAACTGGTTGTTACCCAGCCTATTAGAGCACAGCATTACCCATCCCAACTTACTTTCCCTCCCAGAGAAATACTCCTTTAACTATCATTCAGGACCAAGGTCACTAGTCACATTACTTGCCGTCATGCTCCCAGTTTAAAAAAAAAAGTATAGATTATGCCTATATTGCCTATCAAGGAGCCCTGGTGGCCAGTGGTTAAAGTGCTCAGCTGCTAACAAAAAAGTCAGTTCGAATCCACCAGCTGCTCCACAGGAGAAAAATGTGGCAGTCTGCTTCCGTGAAGATCACAGCCTTGGAAACCCTATGGGGCAATTCTACCCTGTCCTACAGGGTCGCTATGAGTTGAAATTGACTTGATGGCAATGGGTTTTGGTTATACTTCCTATCAGGTCCCTACTTTCATACCTCATAGAAATGCAAGGTGGGAAATGTGAGATCTTGAAGCATCTATGCCTGCTATGAAAAACCCACACTGTGGATACTCTTTGATGATCATAACTTTCTGGTCCAAGCGACAATTTCACCTATAACTCTACTATATAAAGTGAAAGCTTTGAGAGCTGGAACTCAACAGGACTGCCTTGTTTTTCTGAGTCTCTTAAGTATTCCGCCTTTAACAGGGTACAGTGTTACCGCCTTTCTATCACTCCTTTTGGTGGAAAATATTTGCGTTTTCCTTCTCTGACAAGCTTCCGGCTTTCACAAGTTTTACTGTACTTTTTTCTTTATTTATATATAATGGACATAAGTAAAATGTTAATTTGGCTTGAGAAATGGGCTTTATCTGGTTAACACTCTCCCTTCCAACCATCTTGCATGCTGCCACTAGATTTAATCTTTGCAGAAGAACATTTTTACCACATCACTTCTATGTTTAAAAATCGGGAGTTATCTCATTCCCTTTACTTCTTAGCTTTATTTTAAGGCCTGATCAAATCTAGCCAATCTCCATCTTACTAATTTTAGATTTAACTTTAATTATCTTATTTCTCAAGTATATAATCCTACGCTTACTCAAAAGACCCTCAAATACGTTAAGCCATTTGAATGATTACATCGAAAGTTCTCATTATTCCCATACACAAATTTTCAAATGAGAATGAAACACAGAAACAAAAATAATTACATAGCAGCAGACACAATCTTACTGTACAATGATACTCAAATTCTCTGTAAATAACGTTAATTTATAACAAACTCTAGGTCTTTTGTAAACAATCCTAACTCCTATGAAATTGTGCCTATCTTCTACATAATAAAAATACTTCCAAGAACAACTTTCTCTTTATCTAATCCTTAAACAAAAACAATCCTTTCCTAAGCAAGCAGTTTGTCAAACAGTTACTCTAACTCTGCGCCATTTTCCCCATTTGGTGAAGACTGCTCTCCCAACTTCAGGTGCACAAGCTCCTCCAAATACTGTCTCTCCCCCATAATAAAACAGAAAAGGTACAGATTTCAATCCCAACCCAAACCCACTGTTGTCGAGTCGATTCTGACTCACAGCAATTACTACATGCAACTGTGAACAAGTATCCATTGAAAACGTCTACATTTTAAATTCTTTAATGCAAAACTCTGTCTACCTACTTCCTAATGTACCTAGCACTGCAAAGCAGTTCTTCACAAACTGTATTCTGCAGAATACTAGTGTCCTGTAAGATCGTGCAAGTATTCCACAAGAGAGCTTCCTTGTCAAGAAAAGTCTGAAAAACTGCACATACTGCCATTCTTAGAGGTGCACAATGTCTATCAGCATATTAAAGGCTCTAAAAAGTTGTTGTTTACCAAAAACCTTTTTTCATTTTCCACTTCCCAAAGCTGAGTTTTCCTTTATGCATCTCTCCAGGGGTGATACCAGTAAAGCACAAACAATGGCCAATCAGAACAGTAACTTGCCTTACAGTGTGGAAGCAGAGTCCTGAGCTCCTCCTCCTCCCATTCCCCCTTAACCTTTTAGTTGCTAGATCATGGGGAGCTGGTGGTGAGGTGGTACTGAATTACTTCCATATTTTAACTGTTATAGCTGTTATCAGTGTGTAGCCACTGAGTATCAGTCCTGAAAAGACATTAGTCTCTCACAGAACAGATGAATACACATGAAGAGAAAAATTAAAGGACTTCTTCCTAGTTAAGAAATTTCAACCATAAACAAACATAAGTTTGGCTTGTCTGCATTTTTTAGGAGCCTTAAAAAAAAAAAATTATACTAGACCTCCTATATGGTTAGTCTTGTCACGACATCTAACATAATGAGGAGAGAGTAGTTAACAGCCCCAGCTCTCCCAAAGAGATCTCTCCCCCTTCTCTCTTGGGTAGACAAACTGGAGGCCTGTTCAGGCAGTTATTGAGCACTGTGATTCCAAGACCTGCTACCTAGACAGAAAAGTTTCTCTTTTAACATTCATATCCTGGCAAACCCACTATTACAGCACATGTCTCTCTAAGAGGTCTCTTCTACCAACCTCCTCCTCTATCTGAGAACAAGTTTCTTTCATCCTCCTGAACTTTAAGTCAACACTTCTAACACTTATCCCAAGACTTCTTCCTAATTTCATACTTTTCAGTTTAGTATATATCAGTTTTGTTTGTATTTAGTAACATTTCCAGAAAGTAATCCACCGATATGAAATCACAGAACACCTTATGCTACCGTAAATTTCTAGTCCTAGTAGAGAAGTTCCTGACAAAGTAGCTCATCAAAACACCGTCATTAAGAGGAATTATGAGAAATTAATATAAATTTGTTCAACTGTCCCCAATTCTACCAGAATTCCCTCTACAATGATGTGACTGTCCCCAATTCTACTAGAATTCCCTCTACAATGATGTGAATTTTAAATCAGAAGCATGAAACACAATGTTGGGTATTGATAAGAACTGACAAACACATTTAAATATATAATAAAATTCCAAAATCAATTATCAGGTTGATCTGGGACATCTAAAACATTGCTAGATACTTCCAAAAAAAATTGGGAAACTGTATTCTTAGCAATAAGTGTATCTGAGAGGAACTTAAATCCAGCTGTTACGCATCCATTTCTTAGTATTAGCTGTGGTAGAGTATGCTTCTGACTCATAGCGAACCCATGCACAACAACACTAAACACTACTCAGTCCTACACCAACCCCATGATGGCCTGCAGATCAGACTGCTGTGATCCATAGGATTTTCACTGGCTGATTTTCAGGAGTAGATCATCAGGGCTTTTTTCCTAGTCTGTCCCTTAAGTCTGGAAGCCCCACTGAAACCCTGTTCATCATAGCAACACACAAGCCTCCACTGGCAAACCAGTGGGTGACTGCTGTGCGTAAGGCGCACTGGCCAGGAATTGAACCCAGGTCTCTGGCATGGAAGGCAAGAATCATACCACTGAACCACCACTGCCCCTATATTCATCCATTTAACAAATGCTTAGTAACAACACTGTTCTAGGTGGGGAAGTACCACGGTTACTAAGACAGGATAGATCCTTTCCTTCATAGAGTTAACATTCCAGTTTTAGATGGATTTATTATCTCATAAGAATTAGAGAAACCAAAATGATAAAATACAGTTAGAAATCTCCTGGAAATTTCCCTTTACATGCCTCTGCAATTAACAGGGTATACAGAGAGACTGGAAATTGGTTGACTAAACTATGGTACATCCATATTTTGCAGCTGTAAAAAGGAATGAGGAAAATACTATTACACAACCCTGGTAGGATATACCCTAAGGACAAGAACTGGGGGGGGGGGGGACCTCAAACTGATTTCAGTAATCATTATTCGTATGACTGTTTACATTCTGAGATTGCTGTGGGTGAATTATGGATTAAAGCAAAAGGGAGACAGAAATTTTAAGATCAATAAGGTAACACTCTATGGACTAATGACATATTTAATCTTAATAATATGCACGTGTGAAAACGACTAGACAATACTAAGGCAGTGCCTTATTAGCTAGACTAGGATCTAATAAGGCATCTAATTAGTTAGATTAAGATCCCTAAATACCACTTCCTACTAA